TGTGCTGGTTAGACCCTGCTCTGGAGTAGGAGCTAATTTGGTTCTCGAAAAAGGCAGTCCGGTAATAAAATCGCAAAAAGTGGGTAGTTCCACAATTAGTTCTGGTACTATGAAGAGGTTCCCGCGGTGCGAAAGGCCCTTATGCAGTGTCAGAAAGCTCTCAGATTTCATCAAAAAATATCTTAATTTGAGTTCTGAAGATGAACGAAGGTCTGACGGGTTTGGAACGACATGAGGGTGAGTAATTAATGACAATTTTCATTTTTGGGTGAACCCCTGCTCTGGAGTAGGAGCTAATTTGGTTCTCGAAAAAGGCAGTCCGGTACTAAAATCGCACCCACTTCCGGCAGTGCGAAAACGTCAAAAAGTGGGTAGTTCCACAATTATTTCTGGTACTATGAAAAGGTTCCCGCGGTGCGAAAGGCCCTTATGCAGTGTCAGAATGCTCTCAGATTTCATCCTAAAATATCTTAATTTGAGTTCTGAAGATGAACGAAGGTCTGACGGGTTTGGAACGACATGAGGGTGAGTAATTAATGACAGAATTTTCATTTTTGAGTGAACTAACCCTTTAAGAAAGACAATAGTCCCACCTCTTTCAGTGCTCTGCTACCATCTTGAGAGCTGCCATCTTTGTCCTGCATGACCTTGCGTTGGCTTAGCTTGCTATCAGGATTTCGGAGTCGTGTAATCATGCGTGAAGATCCTGTTTTTGCGCTATCTCCATTAGCTTTACCCTCACCTAAAGATGAAAAGGGTTAACATATATAAATACATAAATCTATAAATGAACAGATGCAAAACGTTGTTATGGGTGTGCATAGACACCTGTATCGTCTTGGCTGTTGAGAGAAGACCGTGAGGACCGGTCTACCAGGTCAGGCTCTTCTGGACCTCGCAGGCATTCAGAGATGGAGAAATGACTGCTGCAGCTGTTCTCGTCTGCCGTCTGCGCAGGTTCAGTCTCTAGCACAGAATCTCCTTCTCCGTGACCAGCAGACTCCGAGCTCTTAGCTTAAGGACAAACAGTGACAGAAGATATATTACATACATTAGTAATGTGTGACATTTTGGCCATGTTGAGAGTAGAAGACTCGTATAATACACATACTACTTTTAGCATACTGTGAAACCAAAAAATAGCAAGCAGTACACTAGGCATTACACTCCAACCTCAGCCAAAATTATATTGTAGCACAGCATTAACACTGCAGTATGCATCAGTATAAACTTTGGTAAATCTAATTCAAAACAATCCAGACGGGCTATACACTCTCCGTAAACGCGATATACCCAAGACGATGGCAAAGATCCAGTGCTGCTCTATAGACGGCACTATTAAACAAAGGTTTCTGGGAAGAATGGATGGACTCTAGTGCCAGGAGGGTCTTTGTTTCAGTACAAGAAAACAGCAGATCTGTTCTTAGCTTGAAAATTAACTGCAGCTAACTAGTTAGGCCTGTCTTAATGTAAAAGCCTGAACATTGAGAAATGCGGATGCTGTACCTGCCAACTCTTTCATCCCTTCAGTCCCTTCCCCTTTCTCCTCACCACTGGAAGACGATGTCACAGCATTTCCCATGGGATCCTGGGAGTCAGATTTAGTCGGTATGGCTGAGCTGGGTGCAGCGAGCTCAGGAACATTAGTGCTGCCCACCTCAACAGTCGGGACAGCTGAGACTGAGGCTGAAATATCAATGGACAGATGTCTTTAGTGTTTTAACACTAACAGATGAGAGATGCAATGATTTGATTGTCGTTTCAAATGCAAATGATGAGGATTGTAGCTGCGTTCGAGAAGAGTCAAGATTACCACACACTACAAGTATTCAAATAATGTCGAAGAAAAACTTCTGTGAAACGTCTGTGAAAGAGTGCATGGTCTGGAAAGCATTGCACTGATTTCTAAGCATCACATTTGCATATAAAAAGCTGAAATGCTCTTAAAAAGATACATTCTGGCCTGTCCAGTCAATTGTGATTAGCAGGTAATAGACACACTACTATTCAAAAGTATGGGGTTGGTAAGATTCTCTTATGAGTCTCTTATGCTTACTACGGCTGCATTTATTTGATTAAAAATACACTAAAACCTGTAATATTGTGAAATATTTTTACAAATTAAAATTATGGTTTTCTGAACAAATACATTTTAAAATGTAATTTATTCCTCTGATACAAAGCTGAATTTTCAGCATCATTACTCCAGTCTTCAGTGTCACATGATCCTTCAGAAATCATTCTAATATGCTGATTTTCTCAAGAAACATTTCCTATTATTATCAGCGTTGAAAACAGTTGTGCTGCTTAATATTATTGTGGAAACAATGAAATTTCTTTCAGGATTCTTGAATGGAAATATTGAATAGAAAATTCAAAAGAACAGCATTTATTTGAAACAAATCTTCTGTAATATAGTGCATGTTGTTTTGTCACTTTTGATCAATTTAATGCATCCTTGCTGAAAAAAGTAGTAATTTCTTTATTTTAAAAAATCATACTGACCACAAACTTTTGAATGGGTGGTGATGTAAGTATTTTAAAAAATTGCTTCAGACCGATTCATTAATGAATCACCAGCTTGAACAATTCATCAAAAGAACCGACTCAAAAGAATAATTCACTCACAAAATGACCACTACGGCTTGCAAGCAAATTTAAAAAAGCCCTACACAAGGGTCACACTGGAATATTTTATGGAGAAAAAAAATATTTTAAAGTAAAACTAGAAAAATGTAAATTAATTACAGAAATTCCCACGACTTTTTCAAGCCAGAAAAACTATTTTAAAATGTCCTGATATATCTAGGTTTTCTATGATTTACATCCTGTAGAAATGATAAACATCATTAAAACACATGCTAAATATGTCATTTCAACATTTCAGCAATATACTGAAGATGATGTATGAACACCACAAACCAGTCAAAAAAAAAATAAAATAAAATACACACAATTTGAATTAAACAGACCCTGAATCACATGAAATATCATGAGTCACAGGAATCTCTCTCACCATCTGCAGAAGTTTGCTCATTCGTTGCATTTCCGTTACTGGAGTCCTGTTGTGGACATGATCCGTTCGAGTTCATCTGATCGGCCGCAGCTGGTTCACCAGCCACAGATTTGGATTCCAGTCTGGCCCTCTCGGCCTCCTCTGCCGCCCGTCGCTTCACCTCCTCAAGCTCCGCTTCCTGCTTGGTCTTCAGACGGTCCAGGATCACATCTGGAGGAAATGGACCAAAGAATACTCTCAAGATACTGAAACAGCACAACAGCTGTCCAACATGTTTCTCTAAACAAAACATTCCTGCTTCCTATTTACACATGTTAAATTGCTTACAGGGAAACTCATACAGGTTTAAAATAACTTGGGAGTAAATGATGACAACATTTTCATTTTTGGGTGAACTATTCCTTTTTCTCTCTGAAATGCAGTTTCTTACAAGTTATGTAGTTTTAAAATGACGACTTGCTTGCCTCGAGTTAGCATTTCAAAATAGCACATGAATCAAAGTTTGCATGCAGGAAACAAAACGAATGCATGAAACATCTGCAGCTTGATAAATACTTTCCCACAAAGCCTCTACAAGATGAATCTCACTCTAGTGCAGGTGGAGCTGCTTTTGCACTGCTAAAAATAGCTGAACGGAAAGACACCTTACAGTGATTTACATGACAACCATATTGAGTCAGATATAGTCACTGTATACTATGGATGGAGTTTTGCAACATGGTTTGCATCTTAACATAGTTCAATAAAATAAGGTAATACAACAATTCTTTACATTTTCTTTTTGACACAACTTCACTGCATGTTAAATCTGTGAAATGGAAGTCCTTATTTGCAATGGGACTACATAAATACTTTTCATTTACCATAACTGGATGTATAAAAATCCAGATACAGACACACTGGAAAATAAAGGTTTTTTTTATGTAACATTATCCTTTTTTGTTTCTTATTTCATTTAGTACTTACTGCTATTTACAAGAAAAAGTGTAATTTTGTTATCTAGTAATGCAACACAGTAATATTTTAATACTAAAATTAAATAAGTATTGAAAGTAATATAAAAAAGTAATAAAAATACTTCACCAAAAGTTCACATAGAGTAGGTTACTAAATGGATTTGTTCCACAACAAGTCAATTGAAATAAATAATGTTTATTGAAAAGGCTTAATTTAATTACACGTAATTTGAATTAAATTACCTTCACTGAGAATTTTCTGAGTGTATTTATTAACACTGGGCCTTAGTGTTAATATCCTAAGCTGTCATTACATATAACAGCTTAGGATTGTCATAAATACTTTTAATAAATAAAAATGCCCACATACGTTTGAAAAATAACTGCTGTCATTTCCATGCAAGAACGCTGAAGTCTTAAAGGGGTCATATGATGCGATTTCAATTTTTCCTTTCTCTTTGGAGTGTTACAAGCTCTTGGTGCATAAAGAAGATCTGTAAAGTTGCAAAGACTAAAGTCTCAAATCCAAAGAGATATTCTTTATAAAAGTTAAGAGTCAGCCACGCCTACCTAAAACGGCTCGTTCTAACACACCCCACATGTCTACGTCACGATGTTGTAATAATGTAAAATATGTGAAAAATAATGTGTTTTTCGAACAACCTAGTATGAGAGCCTGTTCTAGTACACCCCCAAAACAAAATTAAGACTTTGTAAAAGAGCATAATAGGACCCCTTTAAAACAACAGCTAATATTCATGATCCTCAAAAAAAGGGGGCCTGCACACAGCAATTTAAACCAGTAATAAACAAGTACAGGATATCAGCATGTATTTTTTTAATAAATAAAATTAGAAGCAATAAACTTGATTTCATACTTGCAAACAGTTTTAGAAAAAACTGAAAAAAAAACACTTCAATGCATTTTATTGTGAGTAAAAATAAATCTAAAGTTAGTATTTGAAAAAAAATTAAAGGGGTCATATGATGTTGCTAAAAAGAACATTATTTTGTGTATTTGGTGTAATGCAATGTGTTTTTTGTGAACTTTGAAAAGATTAGTTTCACATTATTTTCCACATACTGTACATTATTTAATTATCTTCATGACATGGCGGCAGCAACAATACTACAGCGAGAATAAAAGTTACGCCTTCTTTCTTTGCGTGAACATTTGGGCGGCGTTATGCAAATCTTCCCACATCGTGATGTAGGTATGTGGGGGCGTGTTAGAACGAGCCGTTTTAGGTAGGTGTGGCTGACTCTGAACTTTTATAAAGAATATCTCTTTGGATTTGAGACTTTAGTCTTTGCAACTTTACAGATCTTCTTTATGCACCAAGAGCTTGTAACACTCCAAAGAGAAAGGAAAACTTGAAATCGCATCATATGACCCCTTTAAAAAAATTGCAATATATTTGTTTGGAAAAATCAAACAAACAACACTTAGCGACTGTCAAGTTGAATGTGCATGCAACTTTTTTTACCATCTTGGAATGTGCATTTCCAAGATGGCAATAAAAAAATGAGCTATATGATTTGAGTACTTTCTTACCATTGGCAACGGTGAGGTATGCCTTGTTATTCCCCCGGGCCTTGTTAGTGAGCTCCTCGGTAATGTCCATGTGAGAGTGAATCTCCTCTCTCATCTCCTCCAGCACAGAGCAGAGGTCATTCTCCCAGTAGTCTTTATCCAGAAGCTCCAACATCCCGGCCAGCTGGACTTTAGTGCTGTAGTACCAGGTCTGCTTGTTTTCATCCTCACCATCTTCCTCTCTGAAACAGATCAAAACGCACAGGTTACGTACATTCAATACAGGCACTCAATAGACTTTAAACCATATTTTTATGTTTAGAAAACCTAGTGTGAAAAGTAAGTGATGCATTCAAATTTTGACAACCACAAATAGCAACAACAAAAAAAAACTTTCTATTTTGGCTTTCCCTGAAATAGGTTGGAGCACCAAATTGTTGACTGAAACTACTTTTTTCCGATGATGCATTTTAAACCATGTCAGTAGCTGGGTTTCTATCCAAAAGCGAAACTAATCTTTTTAAAGTTCACAAAAAAATAAATAAAACCTATCCTAACTTAGTAACCAACAGTAAATAAAACAAGGCAAGCACAGAAAATGGAGACAGGACTGCAATTTGTTACGACTGGGCAAGTGGGACTTAAAGGGGTCATATTATGCTATTTTAAAGATCATTATTTTGTGTATTTGGTGTAATAGAATATGTTGACATGCTTTAATGTTCAAAAAACACATTATTTTTCAAATACTGTACATTATTGTAGTTCCTTTATGCCCCGCCTCTCTCAAACGCGTCGTTTTCTACAAAGCCCCTCCTTCCGACAAGCACAGTCTGCTCTGATTGGCCAGCTGACCCAGTGCATTGTGATTGGCCGAACACCACAAGCACGCGTTGGAAATGTAACGCCCCTTTCCATAATCGCGAGCTTCAGCTTTCAACATAAATGTGAAGACAGTACATAATGTCCTTAGATTTACCATCAGTTCAAGCCCAAAAGGGGAACAGAGTCGCGTGACAGACAGTCATGATGCTCGTATGTATTTGCAGTACACAAGCCGCGATTAAGAAAGCTGACTCCACTGTGATGTGACCCTGTCTCTCTCTCTCTCACACACACACACACACACACACACACACACACATAAATGGGCGTGTTTGTTTTGGTGCTTTCAAATATCGACATAATTTGCCAAAAATTGCTTAGTGCACCTTAGGGCTGGGTAAAAAAATATCGATATCTCGATATTAATCGATTCTCATTTTTACGGACAGCGTCGGACCGAGCCCCAAAACGCACTTGTAGCCAATCAGCAGTAAGTGGGTGTGTCTTGTAATGATAGAGAGAAGAGAGCGCTCAATTTGAGTGCACAGGACAGATATTAGCAGATCGACTATAGATAGAGAGAGATGGCAG